AAATAATTTAGGTGAATTTTTATACATGAAAAATAACTTGTGACTTGAAATAGAAAGAAAAAACAACTCACAAAACAAATCATAATTGGCATTTGGTAATAAGACAATAGGTTGAAAATGTTGCTAGGAGACTTCTGTTTTAATTTTAGCCCCCTTGTCAAATCAATTTCACATCAAACATTTAAAACTGAAGACATCATTTTCATGTAGCACATTAGTTTCAGCAAAATCCTTTTGGCTGAAGAATCTCAAAGTGAAAATTTGGCTGAAACCCCTTAAGACATGCTTAGCATGCATGTCTTATCTGTAAATCTCAGAGTGTTTAAACAAGTTGCTATTCCCAACTGACCCATAAGGCAGAGCAGATAAAAGCCATTTCTTTGACAGAGAACTGTAAGTAGCAAGGCTGTGGCACCAGGGAATTACGTAAGTGAAGCTGATTTTATTTCTCTTCTAAGGCAACTGAGCTTTATGCTTTACAAGGAGTTACTGTTATGATACACTACAACAGGCCAAGTATTTAGTTAGCTTACCTATGCCACAGAGAAGTTCTGGAGCCTAAAGCAAGTAGCTCAAATAAAATTATCCCATACGTAGAACAGGACTGTGCTGTACCACTCTAACTGCTTACCCATGGGTTCATGAAATCCCTGTACACAGCGTGCTATGATTCTTTCATTCTGTGATTCTGTGCGCTCACCAGAGAGCTTGTGCTCCTGACAGCCACTCAAGGAAAATACAGACACTCCCAATGGTTACAAGTGTCCAGAGGCCATCTCAGCTCCTCACTGAGTAGTTGGTTTACAGGACACCCTTGATTTCAGCCTTCGTGTGGAGAAGGGGGAGTTGACTGAACTGATTAAACTTCTACAGAACCCCTGCAGGAAATACCTGGGGATTATATATATGTTCCAATATACAGCTTATCATGACTTTAAGCAAAAACTAGCATTAAATCCATGCTCAGGCACACAGAGTATTTGTACCTTCCTAATCTTGTGTTTTCCTTATTTCTGTTTTCCCAATACAGTCTTGAATTGCTCACATAAATTACAATTCTGGATGCTGCCCCATGTTTGCATCTCAGTTGTCACCATTTATTGTTTTGCACATGTGACCTTGCTAAGGAGAGGAAGAAAGCCCTTTTAAGCCTAAGCCTTGGTCCTGTCCAGGCAAGCCTGCTTTACTGATAAGAGCCACACAGTGCTGCATGTAGGGCAGGCTCCAGAGGCCCTGCAGCAAGCTGGTCCTGCATGACTTTTCTAAAAATCCTTGGTCCTGTCCAGGCAAGCCTGCTTTACTGATAAGAGCCACACAGTGCTGCATGTGGGGCAGGCTTCAGAGGCCCTGCAGCAGCAAGCTGGTCCTGCATGACTCTTGCTAAAAATATCAACAAAACCCTGTGACAATTTTCCTCTGAGCTCCACAGTTGGTGAACAGGGGAAATATCCAACATCTGCAGTGCTTTCTTGTGCTGTGTGGGACAGATAGAGGAAAGCTTTCCCAAGTGCACAGCAGCAGGACTGAGCACCCAGCATTCCCCAGGTCATCATAAGCATCATGGAGAAGTCACAGTGCCTGCCCACCACAGAAGAGTTCCTCAGAAAGGGTTGGTGTAGCAGAACTACAACATCTCAACTGTGTGCATTTTTCCAGGAGGGTGTTTTTATTTTGCAAAAGATGTAAATCAGGTCTTGTTCAGAATGTATTTCTACATGATGATTTCTACAATGATGTCTAAAGTATTTTTCTACATGTGCTTGCTATGGATGAAATATTAATCACATGGAGAACACTATTGCCTTACTGCCCAGGGAATGCAGGGTACAGGGAGTGACCACAAAATACAATTTGGCTGACTGAGTTGCATCACTCTTTGGGCTGTGGTTGTAACAATAACTGCAGTGCAGCCCTTTCCAAAGGGAAACAGTAGATTGGCATTACAGGCAAAAGAAAAGGACCTCTGGTTGTAAATAGATTAATAAAAATAGTAGTAATAGTTATGAAATTTATGCTCAGAGTGACTTGTTGGATATAAGATAGCAAGCAAGAGAACAGATCATAAAACAATTTTAGCAAAACTTTTTAAATTCAATGTCTGGGGACTTCTTATTTATAAGCAGTGTGAATATAAGAGAATGGAAATGCGCTTGCTGCAGAAGTCATGATCATGCACCACAGGCAGTCAGTTTATGCCAATCCAGTCATTCATACAGCTTAGCTGACCAGTCAGAGACTAAGGGTGAATGAAAATACGCTAGCAGTGATTTGGTAGTTGCTCCTTCCACTAAGAAAACCATTTGTGTCTTGGCTGAAAGAGGCATATTTTTATTTCTAACTCTGATGCTGTAGAGTTGTTTGTTTTATTAATATCCTCCTGCTTACTTGGTTACCTCAAGTAATAATGAAGATTCACTAGCAATATTTTTAGGTGCAGAAAGTGCACTACAATCTAACAGTTTTAACATTGATGATATATCTTAATCTTCAATAGATGGTGTTGGTGTTAGCCAGGAGGGTCTATCCACAGATATTGGATAAGGAGAACAAGCATTTGCTTTCATGTAAACACTCAGCTTCTACATTGTAAAAGATGAAGCATGGTGAAAGTAAGTTATCACTTCACTTGAAGTTCCAACCATTTTTCCCTGTTTGCCATAGGAGTATCAGAATGACATGAGATAAATACATTTTGTTACCTTTGGATGTATCTGCCTCTCTACTGTTCAATCTCAAATTACCCTTTTACTGAATGTCAAGATTGCTTGTAATTCTGAGTTGCTTAAGGACGACAAAGGTGGGCAAGACAGGAATATTTGTGGTGACTGAACACTACTCACCTTTCTTTCACAACATGATAATGTTCTCTGTGGCATCGTCTTGCAAATGCTAACGTTTGTGACAGCATGCACTCATCCACAGGTGAGCTGTAACAGAAACTGATGACAAAGCCTTCAGGAGGTGCCTACCTGAAACATGGCTGAGCATTCTAAATTCAGAGAGGACCATTTTAGTCCTCAACAGATATGGGCTCTCAAATGCATGACAGTACCTGTCTTTATACTAGATTTCAGGTACAAATTTGATTTTTGATGTAATTTGATTTGCCTATATCCTTAAAAAGGTGCAATTTTGTGAAAGTTTGAAACTTGGCAAGAGACTAGATAAAGACAGCTGTGTGATGTGAAGGCTTGTCTACACTCTGCTGCCACATTCACGAGTATTTCTGAAGCCATCTTTTAAAAACCATTTAATATCCAAACCTGTGTTCTCTCAAACTTTTGGATTCTGTTGTGTCCACTTCTACCTCAGCTGTGGCAACACAAAGAATGCATATACAGACTTGGACAACCTGTAGGTAACAGCAGGAAGATATATTCTATTCTAAGGAAATGGTTGTTCCGTAAAGTTTACTTTACCAAAAAATAAAAAAAAAAGGTGAGATTGACCCTTATTTCCAACTCAAAACAGCAGCTGAGGTGTCTTCATAGTTGGCTGTAACTTTCAGCAACATTCAAGTTCAATGGTCAAAACAGTAAAAATGTCTCCTGCTCTCACAGAGGCCTGTTGGATACTCCTGATGGACCTCTCACAGCCACAGGGATATTGGACTGTCTGTGCCACAGGGTAGCTGCTGGCAGGAAGCTTCAGCTGGCCAGAATGAGAGATAAAGCAGCCAATGCTAATCTACCAGCAGGCAAATAAGGTATCTGATGAAAGAGAAGGCATGATGTCAAATTTACTTCTTCAAATCTAATTCTTTGTGGAATTACTATTTCTTCACTGTGTTGCAACTCATTGATGTGGATGTTCCAGTTTGGTTCAAGTTCAATACCTCTTCAGGCACAGTGTATCAGTGCAATGTAAATTATTAATTGCTTTTTTTTAGGCCATTATTGATTTATGAGTGTTAATTCAGAAAAACGCTGTAGAGTTTGCAGTTCACAAACAGGTCACAGCTGTCAGATTGCACCATGAGAGCTGCAATACAATAAATTTCTTTGAGTAAACGAGGTCAGTACTTGGATGCAGCCCTACCCGACAAAATCCACCATGGGAGCAAAGGATACTTTGCATCCTCTGGGCTTAACTGTGTTTCACACAAACCAGCTTTGATCAAGGGCTGCAGCTCCTTCCAGATGCAAATGTAATTGGGCCCTGCCAAAATACTAGGTTGTAGCATGTGTTAGTTCAAGGGGAGAGTGCAGGGAACACAACAATATCGCTTCTGAGCCGGCAGACAGGAAGCTCTGCCCCGCTCCGGGCTGGGTGTCCTCCCAGGGCAGAGAGAGGTGATGGCTCATCCCTGCCTTGCACGCTGAGCAGCTGCAGACAGGCTCTGACAGGCCCCAGGCAGTGCTTGTACAGCCAGATCCACTCAGGGTGCGTTTGTGAGGCTCAGTCAAATCAGAACTCGGCTTTTGTTCTCCCATTAAGGCTATATCCAGATCATACCATATTTTTATTTTCTTCTATACCTATGCTTCAGAAGGGGAAGGGCCAACGGTGACATTCTTTATTGCCTTAGCTTTATAACAGCTATGGGAATTTCTTTTGCTGTAAAAAATAAGGTATTATTTCATTTTTAAATGGAGTCCTAGAAGGGCAGCTCACAGTCTCCAGGTGGCAAGTCTCAGAGGCATCATCCACCGTGTCATGCAAACTGTTCCTTCTCGTCTCTGCTTTCTCCTGCCATAGTGCAAATCCCTTAGAAGATGGAAAGGTGTAAGCGCAGCTGCTGGTGGGGATGTCAGGAAGGAAAGTGTTAAATGCTGAGGGTAAACATCTCCTGATTTGTTACCTAGTCAGCAGGGCAGAGAAGATCTCACAGATAAACCCAGCCTCGAAGCTTCTCCCCAGCTCAACTGGTTATTGCTCAGCGGCAGCTCTTACTCATCTGAATCTAGGTGGAGCTCCTTCCATCCCTCCCTCCCTCCTTCTCTGCTGTGTCTGTCCTGGCTGAAAAGCTTTTCCCCAACATCTGCACACGCGTTCGCAGGTGCCAGCACCGCCTTTCCAGGAGCTCCGCAGAGGCACCATCGCTTTGCGCGGCCCAGCCTGCGGCAGAGAGGCCTTGTCCTGCCAGCGCCTGCCCGAGCCATGGTGAAGTACGGCCTCGACTACACGCGCTGCCGATGGATCCTTCCCCTGCTCCTGGGCATCGGGGTCATCTTCGGCATCATCGCGCTGGCGGGCTGGGGCTGGCTGGAGTCGCAGACCTTGCCCTATGTGCTGCAAGCGTCGCTGTGGCAGATCTGCAGGAGGCCTGGCCAGGGCGGGGAATGGAGCTGCGAGTCCCTCATGGACTACGGTAAGCGCCTGCAGGGGTGGCAGGGAGCAGGATCTGCAGCAGAGGGTCACATCTCCCGGGTCACCTTCCCGCAGGTCTCCTAACTGCATCACCCAGTACCTGCATTTATATATGAAGCCACGGGCAATAGGGACTGTCGCTAAGTACACTGAGGCTTTTGACTAACTGAGTGAAGAAATAAAATGCCCTCACATCCCTGTGCAGAAAAGAATCTAGAGGATTACATAATACATAAAAACCCACGCATTGTATGGTACCGGTGCAAAAAATAATACAGGATTTTCTTCCTCTCTCAGAAGAACCTGGTAACCTCTTCTCACTAATCACTGCTCCTCAAAACTTACCGGTGTTCAAACCGGTGATCAAACATCCAAACAGCAAGTTGTCTGGGTAAGCCTGGCATTAGTGTGACAAGCAGGTCTGAGTGCCAGAAACAGGGAGGTAAAAATGTAAGATGGCAGCAAGATATTCCCAGGGAGTGTCAGGCTACAGAATGCTGCCCTGAAACTGCTCCAGTAGGTGGGTCGTGTGAAAGAGTCTCCTTGTGATTATGAAAGAAAGCTTTAAAAGATGAAAGGATTTCTTGTTCGTACTGAGTTTTGGTGAAGTATGCTATTAAACATATTGACCTGGGTGCAATCTTCAGATTGAAAAGACGTAAACCACAAATGTGGGAGAATAGCCCAAGAGAAGGATCACTCTGGATGTGCTCTGTTTCTTTTTTATTTTTCCTTTTTATTTTTCTTTCTGTATATTTGCTGTTGGCTGTGGTTTGCAACAAGTAATAGTGAATGAAGGACTGTTAGCTTGAAGTTCATGAGTTCTTAAAATTTATGCTCATTCAAATTACAAGGAAGAACCTTTTCTCTGGGGCTCAGAATGTCAGTTCTTCTTGTTAAAAGTAAGAGTAAGAGCACTTGCTGAAGCAATCTCGGGGATTATTTATTACAGTGCTTCAAAATTGTTCCTGAAGGTTTATTGTATGTCATGAAACTCTACCTTCTATGCACAAAATGGAGCTGTAATGAGTTAATTGCAGCAGGCCTCTGTGAGTGCAGGGCTCCAGGCATGACCATCCAGCCCTGCTCTCAGGGCTCCAGCATCAGCTCTGTGGCTGGGCATAAGTCAAGCCAGCAAATGGGCCTCTGCTACGTGGGACTTAAGAGAAGGAGAAAGAACATCATGCTTAGTAGAGGACTTCTCAGTCCTGAGTTTCCTCCTAAGTTTCCTGAAAAGTGAGTCCTCCTCTTGATCTCCAAGTTAGGCCCTGGAGAATGCTATGCATGCTAGCTTTAACTGGACAGAAAATACAGAGATGTTTCACCTTGCTTCTCTTGATAACACAAGAGAAATTTCTCCATACTTCTGGGACCTAGATAGGCATTTCACTTCCTTCCTTATCCTGCCTGACTCTTATAGGTTTAAATTCTGCAGCTGCAGGCACAGTTTCCCTGGAAACTGGACAGCATCTACACACAAGCCAGGGAGGTCATCCTCTGTGCAGACTGCCCTGGAATGTCTGGAGTTACCATGAATGACATCCACAATAAGTCCAGCACTTTTTACACAAACATTGTGAACTTGGTACACACATGCAAGTCATTATCCAGCATGTACACTGGAGAGTCCACTGATGCTTCTGAAAGCATTAGAAACATTGTTCCTGAGCTGCATGATTGATCCATATTATGCCCTCAATAGGCATGCATCTATCACTTGAGCTCTTCAAGGTGATTGAATACCCAGGAAGCCTAAGCCAATCCTCAAAATCCTCCTGAACAAAATTTCCTGGATATGTCTGGCACAATGGAGTCACCTAGGTAGTGGGAGAAAATGTGAAGGCTGTATGTAAATAAGGTACACAAAGGCCAGGTAAGAGTGGGTTATGCTGCCAGGCTTCTGCCTTTGCCAGATTTTGCCATTAAAATGCAGACCTTGCCCTTCATGGGGTGAGTTATCCCTGACTCAGAAGAGGACTGTAGACTTGACTGTTAAGGCTGCAAACACTGTCCTGATCTTTTCCAGATCTCTCCCTCAGACCCCTTCTCGACAGAGGTGGGATATCCTCAGATCCAGTCCTGTTCTCCACTTTTCCTTGTTCAGTGATGCAGGGTTGGGATTTTTTTTTTGTGACTCCCACATTTTCTCATGCAAGGCAGAGGTGGCTGATGCTGGTCTTGGATTCCACTCAAAAGACCAGGCCATGAGAGCATCTCATTTGTGAGCATGCAGGTCTTGTGTTGAGCCTGATTGTACCTTCCTTAGTGATAAAATAGAGGGTTTTAGTAATTCTGGGATTAAATTTATCTACTGTGCTCCAGAAAGGTCATGGAAAACAAGCATTCAGCATCATGTTCTGTGGGATGTTTAACTTTGTGCCAAGCTAAACACAGTGCTTGTGCTGGTTAAACAAAGTGTAATTACATGCCTTCCTGAGCACAGAGACAAAGATGTGATGTAAACGTAAAGGACAGAAATGTTCTACAGCATTCCTGAGATGAGATCTCTTTTCCTCCCTCTGTTCCACAGTTTCCATCTTGTTTCTTCTGACCTTTACTCTCAGCTTCCCTGCCTAATCTGCCACTGGCTGGGTAGGTTCTGAAATTTGTCCCTCCTGCAGGGGTGGTTTCACTGATAAACATTATATGTATGTGTACCCCAGAAGGTGCCAGCAAATATTGTCAACATGACTTGGACAGTGTAGTTATCTTAATCCACTACAGTCATCTTCATCCTATCATAATTAGATGTAATTGCAACATCCTTGCAAGTTGTTAATTATAATGTGCAAATTCAAATCAAATTCTGCACGTGCAATGTTTATAATTCCCCTTGAATCTTGGCTGTTTGGCTCAAGGTATGTTTATACAGTTGGAAGGCAAGAACCCAATGTCATTGAGGTTGATTATATTGGAAGGGAAGAAGGTTGAATATTTCATTGGCTGCATCCGGAGGTTTTGGGGTTTTTTAAATTTTTTTTTTTTTTTTTTTTCTCAGGGGGTTTGGGGGGTTGGGGGTTTTTTTTTTTTTTTTTTTTTTTTTTTTTTTTTTTTTTTGGAAAGGCAGTGAAGTAACTGGTGCACTTACCTTTTGTGAAAGCATCTGTTAACCCGTGGTCTTTTGCAAAGTTTACGAGCTCTGTGGAAAGTGAAAATATGAAGAGTTTATACACTCTGTTAGCTTCTCCAAGACTTCAGATCATCTGCTTTAAACATATGACACTCATGTAGACATTATCAAAGACTGTTGCTTTTCAAGCATATTTAGTTCAAATAAATAGAACTTTCTAGGAAAAAAATATCCAGTGCATTAGGACACTTATTCAAAATGCAGGGAATTTAGGATGAGGGACTCAGAGATTCATTGCTCTTGCTCTTCATTGTTCTTGCACTTGAAAAAACAAAGGGCTCAATCTGATGACATGCTTGAACATATACAAGGAGAGATTAAGACTTTTTGGATAGATAATGAGCAATATGGAATGTACCTCTGTGGGAGATGACTGAGCTTATAAAGAAAATGCACAGGTTAAACCCCATCATGACGCTGGCACAGCACTCCTTTGTTTTTCTTGATCTTTGGCTATATTACCTGTCTTGAACAAGGTGTGTCTTGCAGACCTGAGACATTTCTTCAGTATGTAATTTATTCCACTGCAGGCTTTGGAGATGTTTAAACATGTGTAGGTAAATACATAATAAATAACGAGGGGGAAAATAACTGATTTTATTAGTCTTAATATGATGCACAAAGGGTGAAAAACTTGTGACTACACTTGTCCCCTATCTTCCATCCAGTTTTGTAGTTCTTCCATTTGCAGATGCTGCCATCAAAAAACCTGAAATTTTAAAGTGTATGTTGTCAAGATCATCTTATTTGCATAGTGCAAACAGAGATCTTGGGGAAAAACAATCAGGAAAAGACATTTCCATATGGCAAGTGGAATCCATATCTTCAGTTATTTTCACATCATAATATTATATTATAGGTTTTTCCTGGGATGTGTGGAGGGGTTTGTGGCTGTGGAGATTAGTGGAGGGATGAATGATTTTGCCATTTGGATGGGACTCCTTTGTGCAGCTTGTCTTCCAGGCAAATAATGGGCAACTATGTTCTAGGTATCCAGTTTTATTTTGGTCTATGAATATGAATGCAATACTACAAGATAAGAAGGCTAGTATAGTATGATTATAATGAACAAAAACTACTTCAAATATGACAGCAGATAAGAATGGCTACAGGATACGTGAAAGAAGGAAATGTTGCAAAAAGTAATATCCTTTAGAGAAAAGAAATATTCTGCATCCCCATTGATGAGTGGATTTTTTCACCCCATTTTGCCTGTACCAGGCTTTTGTTTCCAGGGAATCTTTTGCTACAGCGAAGCACATTTATTATCCTGGAGGAAGAACAAAATGGAAATCACTTACTAAAAATACCCAAGTAGTGATACAACAGCAAGGTAACATGGTGTGGTTTGGATCAGTTTCCAAAGTCCCTCTCTTGATACTGCACCTACCACTGGCCTTGCACTGCTGGCCACACAGCCCTCTCTCTGGAAAATGACCTTCTCCATCAGAGCAGTGGCTCGTTACACCTGGGGCACAGGACAGACCAGCCACCAAGTTTTGCCACTGCCACACTACCTACGTAAAACTATTTTTCCTTCCCCCACATTCCCATCACATCTGACAGCCAGCACCTAATCCCAGCATGGGGAAACCCTTACTTGCCCCAAGATAAAGCACCCCTGAGTGGAGTGACATGGGGATATTTCCAGACAGGATGGGATACAGCAGATGGAGGACAAACAAGATGCCCCAGTGTCTCTCTGGCATCTGGGGTGTCTGTACATCAAAACAGAAATGAAGTAAACAAGTAACTGTGCTTTTGAAGTAGGGACCAGCTCAAGTCACTGGGCCTTCATTACAGATTTTTCCTGAAGTCAAGGTTCTGCACTTAACAGCTTTCAGAATTTGGTAACTTCCAAGTAGGTTTGC